GTAACCCGCCTGGCTCGCTTCACTCCCCACCATCCTCGCAAGCTTCTCACTGTCTCTAAGTCATTTGTTTACTTGTCCTACTGCCCCCAGCCCCTTACGGGCACATCTGCTAGACTCATAGTTAATGCTTGTGCCTGGCGCACAGTGATGCTCAAGAAATGTGTATCGGTCTGTACGCTTTCAGGATCAGGGTAGTTGCCATCTCGACATCCTGCTGCTTTCTGAATAACTTTGGCTTTCTCTGAAAGTCAAGTCACCCTCCAAGATGAGGAGCGGCCAGGCCCACGGATGCCTCAGGATCCCGTCTGCACTTTCCCAGAAGGTCCGACACCTATTAGCAAATACTTGTTGAACAAATTAATACATTTTGAAAACGAGCAGCAATGTTGGCAGGAGTACAAAGCCTTGAAAGGGCAACACTGACTCGGGGGTTCTGAAATACATCGCATCATCCATGTAAGTTTGTCAACAAAAAAGGTCAAGTGTGCCTAGGGGTCTTGTTTATAGGGTGTTAGCCGGGTAGCTGGTGGTGGGGAGGGGGGTTGCAGATGCTTTTGTCCCCAGGGGCCTTACAGTTTCCCCTCCGATGTTCAGGAAGGCACCTGGTGGGAAAGACCCCCCTCCCCCCCACACACACATACAGTTCCCACCTGCCCTGCACACAGTGGAGGTGGGGGGTTAGGAGGGAGGCTGACATCTGAGGTGTAAGGAGAGGGGTGTGTTCAGAACCACAAGTAATGGAGAAGCCAGTCCTGGGCACTAAAGTCCAAAGGAAAGAATCCTAAAAGGGAAGTGGGCAGAGGCTGCTGGGTCTTTGGCAGCTTTCCCTCCCTTCCTCTTCCCTGGGCTCCCCCCACGCCCATCCCTCAGTGTCAGGGTGCTGGGATCCTCCCTGGTTTCCCAGCTCGGCTCCACCTGCAGACACATCCCCTCCCTTTCCCCACACCCACCCCTGCCAGATTTCTGTAGCTTAAAGGCTTAGGCGTGACCTCAAAAGCCGTGTGTGCCTGCCCCCCTTGATTCCTCCCTCCTCCCTGGTGGGGATTTGAGCAGATGGGATGGCTCGGCCCCTCACAGACGTGCAAGCATCGTGCCTTGAACGTGGCCCAGGGGCTCCTGATCCCAGCAAGCCCAGGAGGAGAGTTTTTCTCAGGAAGCCGGGATTAAGCGGCCCCAGCATCCAGATCCTGATGTGGCTGGTCTGATCTCATTTGCCCTCTCCTGCTCGTCCCCTTTAAGCTGGTTTTGCCTTCCCTTCTGCTTTCACAAACCCAAGCCTCATCCCCTGGAGCAATGGCGACAGCCTTGTGTCAAGGGTAGAGTCTGGAAGTTAACCATCCTGGGTGACAGCCGCCTAACTGGGGCTGAGTGCTGTCCGTCGTTTAACCCTTACAGCAGCCGGGGGGGTGGGCGGGGCAGGCTCTGCAGTGATCCCCACTTAGAGGTGAGGGAACAGCCCCTGAGGTGTTAAGCAACTTGTGAAGGTCCTGCGAGTCCAGAAGACTTGGGTGGGTACAGAGGGCAGTGGGTCATGAGGAGCTGATAGCTCAGCTGGTTACTCTGTCTTGGCTGGCAAAATTAAGTCCTGGATGGCGTGCCCTCCCCCCGCCTCCTGCCTCCCCGCCACCTTCTATGCGGGGTTGCAGAGCAAGCAAGGTGCTGTGGCTGAGCCAGTAGAAGCCTGTTCCTACCAAGGACAAAGCCGTTTATAATCCCTATCTCCCCACTGCTGGAGCCCAGTGATATGTCCTCAGAGCAGAAAGGCACATTACTTTATTCTAATTTTCAAAGAATTCCCAGGATTGAATAAATCACCGGCTCTCAGCACACTGGCTCGGAGAATCAGGAACGGTCTCGAATTTTCAGGGCAGAAACGTCTATTGATCTCCCTTGAAATACCCAAGACTGTTGCATTTCTTCTGGAAAAACAAGACCCCGGCCACAGGAATGCCAAGCCTCCCCCTTTATAATGACCATCTCTGAGCCGACAGGCCTGAGCAGACTCTCGCCCTTGAAATGACAGCAGCGGTTCTATTAAAGAATTTTGATTACAGGAAAAAAAAAAGTGAAAGAATCCATATTTCATTAAAGGTTGCTTGTTTTAAAGTGGGAACATTTTCTGGATGTGTGGGGAGCTGATGTTTTCTAGGTCTTGCGGGAGAGTCTAGTCTTAAAAAACAAGATTTTCCACGTAAGGGAGAACTCATCACTTTCAGAGCTTAAGGCCAAATTGTATTAACAGAGAAAGGGATTTTTTTTTGTCCTGGAAGTTTCTTTGCAAGCATTTATGGAGCACCTACCATGAAGCTGGTGTCATTCTAGGGGTTTAGGCGGTTTATGAGGGTAATGAGAGCATTCTAATAGGATGAGAGGATATAGATGGGTATTTGTATTCATATTTTACCATTTTTTAGTTCAACTGACTGTTAAACAGTGTTTTGAGAACCTGCTGTGTGCCAGGCCTGGCGAAGGCACAGAGGATGTAATACAGGGCAGTGTGGATCCCCACCTTCCAGAAGCTTCCAGTCTAGCTGATGGGATGAAGACGTGGGGCTGTGGGAGTGTCCAACTGGGGACTTGCAGAAATGACCTTCACAAAGTACTCCTCCATCGGTTATCTCGAATTGAGGAGTGGAGTGAGAAGGAATTATTCCTTCATTGCCTGTGAACTTTGAGGCCCAAAAGTTGCTCAGATCCCTCGGGAGTGTCAAGGATGATACCCCAAAAGCCGTGTTTGATTCCTAACACACAAAGCTCTGCACGTCACAGGGCCATCCACCGTCCAGGATGATGAGAGCCCATAACAGGAGTGGTGGGTGGTAACAGCCCAACAGGGGCCTTCGTGGGGCCAAAGGAGGGACTGTGACGTGGTACTCGATGCCCCAAGATGGCGGAATGCCAGTGGCGGCACACTTGGTGCCTGAGGGATCCCGCGTATCAGGGGACAGGGACCAGTGCTCTCAGCCCTCATTCCCTACCTTGCTGCGCCTCAGCCTGGGGTCCGGCTCCAAGGCTCACCTGGAGCCTCACTCCCATTGATGGTGTTCCCTATGTGTGTGGTCCCACGGGGAGTGCACCCAGCTGGGGGACAAGAGTTTTTCCTCCTCGTGCCAACATTGCCATCCCCAACACGGTCGATGTCACTTGACCTCTTTGGGGGTCTTGGCTTCCCCATCTGGAATGACAGATCCATCATGGGCAGGAGGAGAGGTTGAGAGGAGGGGCCGGGGGGCCTGGGAGAAGCTGAAAGTGCTTTGCCGGAGAACACCTGTCCCTGAGCTCTGGGGGGTACACAGGGGGCCAGAAATTACTCCGGTCTGAGGGGATGAGCTGCTTCTCAATTCTGACCTAGCGGTGGCAAGGGAATCCTATCCCAGAATCCTGGGAGGGCACGTTTGAAATTCACCACAGGCTGGAAATGCTTTAAAAAGTAAGGCATGGGGCGCCTGGGTGGCTCAGTTGGTTAAGCAACTGCCTTCGGCTCAGGTCATGATCCCAGAGTCCCGGGATCGAGTCCCGCGTCGGGCTCCCTGCTCGGCGAGGGGCCTGCTTCTTCCTCTAACCCTCCCCGCTCTCATGTACTCTCTCTCTCTCTCTCTCATTCTCACTCTCTCAAAATAAATAAATAAATCTTTAAAAAAAAAAAAAGATTCTCTCTAAAAAAAAAAGTAAGGCGTGTTATTAAAGTCAGTCTCACCATTTTACTGATGATGAAACTGAGGTACCCAGAGGTTAAGGAACTGTCCCTGGAGACACGGCTGCAAACATTCGAGGCAAGATCTGAACCTCGTGGCAGTGTGATCGCAGAGAGCCTGCCCTCCCGAGTGGGACTGACTGTCTCCAGCCTCAGCCTGGCTGTCGACAGGGACTGCGTTTGTAATAGATCCAAGTAGGCACTGAAGCCACCTGGGACCCCAGCTCTCTGCTGGGAACGTGATCAGAATCCTTTGACAAAGTGAGGAACCATCCCCTGATTTCTCTCTTTGGTGTATTTTGACGTTTTTTTTTACTTTTTTTTTTTTTTTCCTCCAGTAACACCTTTATTTGAGGTAGAATTCACATACCATACAATTCATCTATTTAAGGTATATAACTGGGCGGCTCTTAGCGTGTTCATAGTTGTGCAAACATCACCACAATTTTAGAACGATTTCATGAACCCCAAAAGAAACCCTGCACCCTTTAACTGTTATCCCCCAAACCATCCTTCCAGCCCTAGGCAACCACTAATCTACCTCTGTCTCTCTAGATTTGCCTCTTCTGGAATTTTACATTAATGGAATCTTACAGTATGTGGCCCTGAGTGACGGGTTCCTCTCAGCATCGTCTTTTCCTCCACAAGGGTTCCTCCGTGTTGTAGCATGTGTCCGTGTTTTGTCTTTGTGTGGCCAAATAGTCCCTTGTATGGCTGGACCACGTTTTATTTATCCACTCATTCATTGGTGGGTGTTTGGGTTGTTTCCATATTTTGGCACTTGTAAATAATACTGCCATGAACATCCCCGTGCGAGTTTTGTGTGGACGTGTTCTCACTTCTCTCGGGCAGATACTTGGGATTAGACTCGCTGTGTCGTGTGGTAACTTGATGTTTCACCTTTTGAGGAACTTCCAGACTGTCTTTCCACAGCAGCTGTACCCCCTGGCCAGTTGTGAGGACTCCAACCTCTCTATGTCCTTGCTGATATTTATTATTATCTCTCTTTGCCATCCTAGCGGGTAGGAAGTGTTTCGATACTTTAAAAAAAAAAAAAATTGCAAGGGATACGTTAAATTTGATCAACCCCAGGTTTCTAGAACGTCTGTGGATAACCCCGTACTCAGTGATGTTTTCCGGAGGGCGTGGGCGTGCCGTGAGCTCCAGAGCGGTAGCTGGCCGGCCCCCTCCCAGGGCAGTCCAAAGCCTAGCAAGTTCTACAGTCCACAGGGGACTCACACTGCCAGTGGGGCCGTCACAAGGCCCACTGACAACTCACACCCTGCCGTGTCCTCTTGTCTTCCAGCGATTCACGAGTTCCCCACAGACCTGTTCTCCAACAAGGAGCGACAACATGGAGCCGTCCTGCTGCATATTCTCGGTGTAAGTGGCCCGGGTGGGATGGGCTGTTCCTACACCACAGGCAGGCGAAGTGTGGCTGCAGAACATGGTCGAGCCATAATGTGTCAACGATGTCCCATCCTCCTAAGACGGTACCTGGGAGAATAGGCGCTGGACCCATTTTAACCACCAAAAACCCAGAATCTTAAAGATGTCGGGTGAATGGCTCCGTGTTGCACAGCAAGTGACCCCAAGAGCCAAGACAAGACTTCAAGTCTTCCTGGGCCCCATTTTCTGCTTTCATAAAAAGGGAGTGACAGCATCTTTCCCAGATGTGTGAACAGGTGTGAATGTGAGTAAAGTGCACCAGACGTTGCACAACACGTAAGAAGTGCTCTTTGCGGGCTTGCTCTCATTCCCATGATCCCCCACCGCCACCCCAAATCTCACCACCTTGACATAACTGTAGTTTAAACTTTGGTGCACTCCTTCCTAAATTTCCCTGTCTTCAGATGAGCCTTGGTGGACAAAAGGTGGAATTCGAATACCAGGTCAAAAAGAAATAGTGGGTCCAAACCTAAATTATAGGCAAAAGTTGCTCTTGCTGTCAGCAGTAAGCAAACTGCAGCCTGAAGCCACTGCTGGTGTTTGTAAATAAAGTTTTATTGGAACACAGCCGTCCCCATCATTTCTGTGTTCTCTGAGGCTGCTTTTGTGCTTCAGTCCCAAAGTAGTTGTAAGGCGGTGATGTGGTCCACAGAGCCAAAAATATTTACCATCTGTCCCTTTGCAGAAAAAGTTTGCCAGCCCTGTTGTGTGGTGTGGAGAAACAAAGTGCTCGCGATTTGCTTTTCTACCTGGGACACGACAAATTTTCCTCTAATTAGGTTCCCCAACCACCCAGCACCATTTGCTTCTATAAGCCCCACCAAGGATTAGTCTTTGCAAGAGATAATTCAGAAAGTGAAGGCTAGGATTCTCGCAGAGATAGTAGCCCCCTGAGAATGATGAATGAGTGAAGTTTTAATTAACAGGATAAACCATTAATGAAAATGAAGGTTGTAGGCAAATATTGAGTGACAGGCCTGTGTATTTCTGTAATAGAGTTATTACCTTCCTAGCTCCTCTGGCTTTCCCACGCCCTCCTCTTTCACTAAGACGGTGTGGGTTTGGCGAATTAATCCCATAGTTCTGGTGCTCTGCTTTGGGAAAGTCTTGACGTTGCTTGACTTTCCCAAGACAAAACCTTTTCTCCTGAACCTGAGAACACCTCAGGAATTTTGCCGGAGCCCTTTAGAGCTGACATTAGCCAAACGATGCCTAGAGGGCCAAATCTAGCCCACCTCCTGATTTTATAAATAAAGTTTTATTGGAATGCAGCCACACCCACTCCATGTTCTCTTCTATAGCTGCAGAGTCATTGTGGCAGAGACCGTGTGACCTGTCAAGACTGAAATATTTACTATCTGACCATTCCAGAAAAACTTTGATGACCCCTTCTTTAAGAGCAAGAAAAGGCTCAAGCTTTGGAGCCAGTTTTTGTCTGCAGCGCTAGGAAGCTTCTCAGTTGCCAGGCCAGAGCAGTGTGGGACCATCTTGGCCTCCTTTTCTCTCAAGTGTTTCCGAGGCCATCAAGAAGCCTCCCTTTGCCTAGAAGATGATGTTGGGGGAGCTTCTAGGGGTGTGAATTCAAGTCTGTATCCTAAGATTTTTATAGCAGGATCTCTCTCCCCTCCACCCATAACCCCCAGTATTTGTTTCTTTTTGCCCGCCCCCCCCACAAAAAAAAAGGTAACGAGTCAGATCCAGGGACAGCCACGCCTGGACTGCAGTAGACACCTGCCTTAGAGGCCTTGGCCACAGCTGATATATCTTCCAGTTTATTTAATCACAATTCATTAGTGTGCTACTCCAACAACTTCACAATTGTTTTTGCTGAAGCAGCCCAGCCCTTCCCATTTTTGTGAACAGAGCATCCATATCACTTTGTCTTTGAAGAAAGAAATGCTTCCCTCGGCATTTAGCACACAAAGTCCCATCTGTCCATGGGCCCTGGGCCTGGCCCGTCCCTCCAACCTCATATCCTCTGTTTTCCACTTCAGTCTCACTCTGGTCTCCCTGCATTAGTGACCTTGCTGTTCCCTCACGGGCATCAAGCACACTCCTACCTCAGGACCTTTGCACTGGCCTTTCCCCAACAGTTACACGTTATTTGCCTATTTGCCCCACTAAGGTCAGTTACAGGATGCAGAGGCATTTCCTGGCGGGTTAGGCATGAATCCCTGATGCCTAGAATAGCGCCTGGCCCATAGGATGAGCTCAGTGAAACCATGTTGGATGAACAGGACAGGGAGGGGTTCTGTATATAAAACCATTTGAAAACTACTGATCTGTTCTTACTCTGTCATCAGACAGATGAAGAGACTGAGCCCTGGAGATGTGACTTATCCAAAGTCACATGACAAATCAGTCCTAGAATCAGCATTAGAATCTGGCCTCTTCGTTCCATGAACCTCCGTGTGTGAATGGCTTGTGTATTTTAACCTTTGCCAACATGAGGTAGCATCCCAGAAATTGCTGGCTCTCCAGCTGCCATTCATTCCAGCAGGGGGTGGCCGGGTGGTAAGAAGGAAATGGTACCTTCACTAAAAATGAAGGGGGAAGATCAGGCTTGTTTTCATTTTAAACTCTTAAAATGGTGATTCTAAATGCTTTCCTTCTTAGCCCTGAGTGTTAGAGCTGGCATTTCAAGAGCAGACTCTGGTGCCGGGGAGAGAGCTGGTGCTTTACAAAGAGAGGACGGAGCAAAGACCATGTGGCCTGAGCTCTCATCCCCTTTGCTGCCCAGCACTTTATTTCCCCTCCCTGGGACTCAGTTTCCCCATCTGCTCGTGAGGGGATTGAGGGAGCAAATCTCTCTGGTATTGGAATTTTCCTCTGTCTCTCTCTTTCTCTCTCTGCATCTAGCCTCTGCCTTGGCCAGGTGATGGCTGCCCGGTTTGGGGTGCGACAGCTGGCCAGCCATACCTCCTCGGCAGCAGGTGCCTTCGCTGACGATCTCCCCCATTTCCTCCTCAGGCTCTGTACATGTTCTACGCCTTGGCCATAGTCTGCGATGACTTCTTTGTTCCGTCTCTAGAGAAGATCTGCGAGGTATGTAGAGGGGACTTGGGATCCCACAGCAAAGCCGGGCAGGGAGGCAGGGGACCTGGGGCGACCTAGGACATGGGACACTTCAGGGCCAGACCAAGAAGGACCGAGCAGGGAGCACTCTGGTGGTGAAGATTGGCCACACGCTTAGTGTGGCCACGGCAAAGCCTGGCTTTGAAAGCCCCAGAGTAGAGTTGGCAGAGGGTGTCCTCTCCCCGATTTGGCAGAAGAAAAGCTCCTGATGGGCAGTCAGCACCCAGAACCTCTGGCTTCCCAAAGCTGCAGGTGGCAGGTACCAGGTGGGGATCCACGTCTTGGGGGAGGGTGCCGAGGCTGAGCAGGGAATATATTCCCTTTGGTCCAATGTTTGCAGGCTGACATTTTCTCCTTCTAATTGTTTTGTGGACTTTTGACTTTCTTGTCTTCTCTCTCCTCACATGCCAGATTCCAGTGCTGGGGCGCTTGGCCGGCTCAGTTGGTAGAGCATGTAACTCTTGATCTCGGGGTTGTGGGTTCGAGCCCCACGTTGAGTGTAGAGATTACTTAAAAATAAAATCTTTTATAAAAAGGCTCCAGTGTGTCTCTCTGCTCTGCCTTACCCTTGGCTTCTAACCAAGGAAGGAAAACTACCTCTGTTTCCAGCACCTGCTATGTGCAGATGGCTCTGGGCTTTGGCGCACTTTGTCCCTGTGAAATCTGTCAGCCATTTGAGGCCATGTTGTTGTGACATCTGCAGCCAGAGACAGACCTGGTTAGGACAGGTGCTTCCATGCTGCTAAGCACAGAAGAGGGCCTTTTTGACCTGGGCCTCCTGAAGAGTGAGGGATGTGACAGAGGTGTGCAAAGGCCTTCCCCTCCCCCGGTCTCCCCTTGCGCACCTCTCCACCTGTCACCCGGCTCAGACCGAAAGGTGGGTCAGTGAGCGAGTTGAGCCAGGGAAGGAGCGTAAGGAGAGAATCAGGAAATGTCCTCTGGGGATGGGTGACCAATGCACAGGACAGTGCCCAGTGGAAGTGCCCCTCCAGGTTACCTGTCTCTGTAAGGACACAGACGTGAGCGAGGGGGATTTTCCTGGCTCTATGGGCAAATCCACCAAGGGGCTCAGTGAGAGCCATCAAAGGCCTGAAAAACCTAAAGGAGGGGTGCAATGTCTCTCTTGGGGAGAAGCCTAGGAGGGCTTCATGGAGGAAGTGGTATTTGGTCCAAGCTTGTGAAGTGGTGAAGATTTCTCCAAGCAGAGAGGGCAGGGAAGGGCGTTCCAGGAGGAAGGAGTAGCCCAGGCAAAGGCAGAACAGGATGTAGCATGGTTTGTATTGTGCTAGAAGATACTGGAGATGCTTTGATGGCAGATCATCTTCTGTGGAACCCTCTCCTGGTTGATGAGGTTAGGGTGGCCGGGCTTCTGCCCTGGGGGGGTCAGTGCTTGACAGAAGTCCAGAGCTCCGACCCCTCCGAGGGACCCCTTCCTATAGCAAGGTCAGCAGGGAGGTTGTGCTAATCCCGGGCTGCCCAGGGTACTTTGGAAGGTGGATGCAGGCGGAGACCGAGCCCTGCCCAGACGCCTTCTGAGCACCACGGAGTAGGTGCCTTCAAGTTGGTGTTCAGGGAGACCCAGAATCTTCGTGGTTTCTCCCAACATCCAAAGCCCCCGGCACCACATTCTTGATCAGAGGATTGGCCTCTGTGGCTGGAGCACGGCCTTGCCAAGCAGAGTGTGTCTTGACAGAGCTCCAGCCCTACCTCATGCTGCCTCATCCCCGGAGATAGGGTGTCTGGGTCTTTGTCTCCACGAGCAGCCCTGCTTTGGGCCTGCCATGGAGAAGGCCTTCTGGAATGCAAGGGCCAGACTGTGCATCTGGGACCTCCGGGTTCCTGGAGAAGTCTGCATGTGGAGAAATCTGCATGGTACCCAAGGTCTGCGGTGGGCCCTGGAGGTGGCTCCCTGCTGAGCACCACTGTGTACCAGACTCTGTGTTAGGCGCTGGCAACCCAAGGCTGAGAAAAAGACCACCCTGTCCTTATCATCCGGTGGGGAAGGCAAGGGCATAATCCTCAGACCCTCATTGGGTGATCGGGGTGTTTCGTTAATTGGAGGACCAGACTGGGGACACGTGGCTCTGGGTGTACCCCTAGAGAGGAGACCTCATTTAGGGGCTTGGAGAGTGAGCAGAAACTGACAGGGGAAGGCGACAGGGGACTCCGGGTGGGGTGGCCGACCGTGTAGCGGGAGATGTGTGCTCGGGGTGCCGGGAGGCGACACAGCCCACTCAGGCGCGGGACTCTGGCCACAGCAGTTTCCCCACGCTTTCAGGGGCCACAGGAGTGTCCGCTGTCCCCACCTCCCAGCCTGAGTGTCTGTGGTCACTTCCGTTTCAGAAGCTCCATCTGAGTGAAGACGTCGCTGGAGCCACCTTCATGGCTGCGGGAAGCTCGACACCTGAGCTGTTTGCCTCCGTAATTGGTAAGAAATCCCACCGGCCAGGGACCCAGGGTCTAGACCCCCTCACCTGACCAGTGAGGGCATTTGTCAGCTCAGAGCCTCTGTTTTCTCAACTGTAGAACGGGAGAGCTGGGGAGACAGAAAGTAGCGGTTCCCTGGGGCATGTGGTGGAGCGAAGAGTGGGTGGGTAGAGGGTTCCTTTTGGGGGTGATAATGTTCTAAAATTAGATTGCGGGACGGTTGCACAATTCTGGGACTATACCGAAAAACTGGATTATATACTTCAAATGGGTGAGTTTATGGCATGTGAATTATATCTCGATAAAGCTGTTAAAAAAATAACGGGGAGTGGAGGAGCTGGTCCCCAGGACACTGTCTCCTCTCTGGTTTTGCCATCCCCCTCAGCCCCACAGGCATTGTGGTGGTGAGAACAACTCCCTCCATCCATGGGGCTGGGGACACAGACCTCGCAGCAGCCTGGGTCGGGGGCAGGGCAGGCCCAGGAGGATTTCCACCTTTCCCGTTCCAGGCGTGTTCATCACCCACGGAGATGTTGGGGTTGGAACCATCGTGGGCTCTGCCGTGTTCAACATCTTGTGCATAATTGGCGTTTGTGGATTATTTGCGGGGCAGGTCAGTGGTTTGTCTCCCTTCATAGAGTGACCTAAGGGACAGCAGTGGGGGAACCCAGGGCCTCCCCTTAGATGCGTCCTCGACTGACTGAGGCTGAGCAAGTCAGCTTTCCCCTCCAAGCCCAGGTCCTCACGGGTACAAGTGGTGTCTGACGTTCCTTCCACATCCCGCACCAGTGGATCCGAGGGCAGGACAGTGCCAGCTCTGCTGTCCGGGCCGAGGGTGAACGTTCACTCGGTAGCAGTAGATCTTTGAGAGGCGCCTCCTGTAACCCTGACCCTGAGGTAGATTCTGGAAATATCTGAGGCCTGCCTTTGGCCTCCTTAGCAAGGAGCATGAAGCTGACCTGTTGCTGATACCCCATCAGCATCTTCCTGGTCGTCAGGGCCGTGGGGGCATTAGACTCGCCCCCAGAGAGTGAGGCTCATGAGTAGGCCCTACCTGGCCAAGGGAGGTAGAGGTGGGCGGCTAGTTTAGCACCAGAAGCTTCCAGCATCAGGGGGAAAGCGAGTACTTCTGGCCTCTGCCTTGACCCTGGGCTTCTGCTGTGAGACCTGAGATGTTACCTTGAAGGAGCTTGGCCATCACTTACAAACATTCTGTACTTTTGTTCTGTTCCCCAAATATAGTGAAGAACACTGGGCGGCCTTGAGCAGCCAGGAAAGATTTGTTTCTGGTGGCACAGTTAGGAGGAGCTCCATGGGCACATCCCTGCACCTGCAGGGCTCAGGGGGTGGCAAGAAAGCCACTCCCCGCACCAACCCCCCCAGTCTCCCCAACCAGCAGCAGCTGACAGCCCTTTGCTTGGCAGGTGGTCCGTCTGACATGGTGGGCTGTGTGCCGAGACTCCGTGTACTACACCCTGTCTGTCATCGTGCTCATTGCTGTGAGTTACCCCCTGCCCGTGTGCAGGCACAGGACCCCTGCCTGTCTCTGTCCCCGGCGCCATAATTGATCCATCCCCTTGCCCCCATGCCTCCCCTGCCTGAAAACCTCATACTTGACACCCTGGTTATGGAGCAAATCCAGGGACCACCTTGAATTCAAAAACGCCTTGGAAACGTCAAAGCATGTGTCACATGGTCCGAGCGGTTAAGTTCAAGCACTTTGCTCCTCGGGGGCCCTCAGAGCCTCACTTAGAGCCCGATGCCTGAGAATCAGAGTTTCTGGGTTCACTGCTTACCGCAGAGCAGGAGAGAGAGAGGCTGGTTAGAGGCAGGCATTGTGGGCCCCTGGGGGAACAGGAGAAAGGCAGAAGAGCTGGAACAGGGATTTCTAGGGTCCGTTAGTACGGGGGGAGAAAGGGGGGATTACTCCTGCGTTCCCCCGAGGGCTAGGGTGACATCATGGCACACGAAGCATATGACGCAGGCTACTGCCAAGGAGTGGGCCATGCACAGGAGAGCCGTTTCAATTCAAGCGGTGGCATGAGGGCAGATGCACATGGTGTGTCCAGATTTTCTGGAATGTGCCCCAGAGAGACAGTTCTCAACCTTACAAGGTCTAGAGTCAACTGTATAGGGCAGTCCCATCCCTTGTATGAATTCTCTATTGCTGCATAACAAATTTCTCCCAAACTCAGCAGCCTAAACTAGCAAGTATTTCTCGCTCTTGTTGTCTATGGATCAGAATCTGGGGGTGGCTTACCTGCTTCCTCTGCTTCAGGGCTTCTCACAGATGTTGGCCAGGGTATACAACTCCCTGGGAGAGGATCCGCTTTGGGGATCCCTGGTGGGGCTGCAGATAGGCCTCCTCCAATCCTTCCTGGCCGGCTGCTCCTCAGTACAGAGCTCACCACGCTAACTGGCTTCCCTCAGAGCAAGGGTGAGAAGGTGCCAGGGTGGAAGCGAGTCTGTAACCTAATCTTGGAGGTGATAACCCGTCACTTTTGCCATATTCTGTTTGTTAGAAGCCAGTCCCTAGGTCCAGGCCATAGATAGAGGTGCAGTGGCATGAATGTCAGGCAGAGCGTTACTGGGACCATTTGAGACCACTGGGACCCCTGCCTACCACAACCCTGAAAACGAAAGTTATAGATAAAATAATTTACCTGTACACAGTTTCAAAAAAAAAAAAAAAAAAGAATCAATATGATGCCCAAACTATCAAAGACAAAAGTCATTTATGATAAAAGAATACATCGTTCAGTGTGTAAATGTTTTGGCAAGAAGATGCTAGAACCCCGGATGATGTAACCCGTTGCCCCCATATGGAAAAATCTCTGAGCCTGAAATCTACCTGCACAGACTGAAGGCCGGGTGCTGGGCAGGCACCTTGGATCCCGTGAGTGGTGCCGACATTGATGACATGATTTTCCAAAATTATGAATGACTCCTGATAAACTGCTAGGCAGAGCCAAGTCCACCTGCCCCTCCATTTGCATGATAGCTACCTCACTGGAGAATTACATATTTATTAAAACTGTGTAAAGGTACTTTGATTTGTACAATGGAGTTAAGTTTGGGGCTCAGGTCTCCCTCCTCCCCCCCCCACCACTTTCCTGAATATTTAGCTAGACATTTAAATAAGATGTGTGCCGCATGTGGGAAAACCTTCTGATAGACGTATTTCACATGTTCTAGGTTGGTTAGCACTTGGCCGTCCCTGCCTCTAAATGCCAGTAGCCCTCCACTGGGCTGTATAAACTAAAAATGTCCCCCTCATGGGCGCCTGGGTGGCTCAGTCGTTAAGCGTCTGCCTTCGGCTCAGGTTGTGATCCCAGGATCCTGGGATCGAGTCCCACATCGGGCTCCCTGCTCAGCGGGAAGACTGCTTCTCCCTCTCCCACTCCCCCTGCTTGTGTTCCTGCTCTCGCTGTCTCTCTCTGTCAAATAAATAAATAAAATCTTTAAAAAAAAATGTCCCCCTCAAATGTCCTCAACGTTCCCTAAGGGGACCACTGGGCACCTCTCTGTTGAGTGCTACTTCCCCAGAGCCTGGAGTTTGGGGAGCCTCATGGTGATGCCCAGCCAAGATGACCCCTCTTGGAAATGGCCTCCCCACGGCAGCTCCCATGTGTGCTGCCTGCCATGACAGCCAGGAGAGGGGCACTGTGGGTCCCCTGGCTTCTCCTTGCATCCTGTGCTGGGCCCCTTGGTCTCCAAGATCCCGTTGGTGGGTGTAGCCTTCTACCTTCCTGTCCACACTGGGCCTGGTGGGTGGTGCTCCCAGGACTCCTCCCCTGGACCACAGGGGCATTATTCATCTGTGTCTGTGCCCAGGATGCTGGGTGGGGTTGTGGGGCAATGTCTGTGCCCTCTGCAGAAACCATGCATCACCACCATCAGCCTGGGGCTCCCTTCAAATAGTACAAGTGAGTCCTTTGCCCTTAGAATCTCCAAAGAGGTTACTCTCTATTTAAAGAAAATAATATCCTTGGAGCACCTGGGTGGCTCAGTCAGTTAAGCGTCTGCCTTCAGGTCAGATCATGATCCCAGGGTCCTGGGATCGAGCCTTGAGTTGGACTCCCTGCTCAGTGGGCAGTCTGCTTCTCCTTCTGCCCCTCCCCCCTGCTCATACTCTCTCTCACAAATAAATAAAATCTTTAAAAAAAGAGGGGGGGAATAATATCCCTTCCCTCCCATATATACGAGTACCTTAGATAGGTAGATACTGTAGGGAGATAGACAGATGGGTGTCTTTCAGTTTTTAAGAGTGTTGATTTCAGCAAGTCTGTCCCCTTACTGATGGCAGGCACCTGCCAGGCTGGCCCCATCTGTGACCTGGAGTGTAATGAAGCATGGGCCATTTCTCTTGGGAGGCCCACACTAACCTGGAGCCACACACAGTAGCATCTGCTGGAATGGGTTTCGACTAAGGAAAGGTCACCTGCTGCTGAGAAACCCAGAAATGGGAGAGGAGCCCAGCTTTGTGTAAAAATAGCAAGGCACTGTGTGTGAGCTCTGAGTGCTTAAGGATCTGTGTGTGTTCTTTTGGAATAAATATGTCCCCCACCCTTTGTTTCTTTTGCCTTCCAGTTCATATATGATGAAGAAATTGTGTGGTAAGTTTTAAATGTTTATTTCTTGTTCCTTTTTTGGTCCTATCCTTCTTCTTTGGGTTCGTTGAATCTTCTTTGAGATTGTTTTTACAAACATGAGCTTATGCACTTGTGAAAGTAAAAAGCATCATTCTAAGCAATCACACCTTTATCCTTTCAAAGTGACAAAGATTGTTTCCCTCAGTGTTCCTGCTCTACCAAATAACAAAATATATTATAAAGCTAAAATAATGAAAACAGTATGGCATTTTTCCACTGGGATAAACATAGGCCAAAATGGACCGTGGAACCAAGAACCCAGTCATGGGCCCATTTCTTGGCCAGGGGATATGACAGGTGTCACGACAGGCAGTGAGTTAGGGAGAGGGTCTCAGATACTGCTGGAGAAACTAGGGATCTATACAGAACAAAATAACATCAGATCCCTTCCTCACACCTTATACAAGAAGAGAATCCAGATGAATTAAAGATCTCACTGTAGGGGCGCCTGGGTGGCTCAGTTGGTTAAGTATCTGCCTTCAGGTCAGGTCATGATCTCAGGGTCCTGGGATCGAGTCACGTGTTGGCTTCCTGCTCAGTGGGGAGTCTCTTCTCTCTCTCCCTCTTCCCCACACTCGTGCTTGCTCTCTCTCTCTCTCTCTCAAATAAAATCTTTTTAAAAAGCACTAAAGCTTTCACTGTAAAAAGCAAAGTTAAACAAAATAGAATAAAATGTCAGGACTCACCTTTATGACCTTGAGATAGGAAATGATTCCTTAATTAAGATACATAAAGCAGAAACTTGAAAGGTGGGTGTATTCACTGTATACGTGTATCATACATCCATAGGCCATAGAAATGTTCTCTTCATGACAGTGATTCAGAGTCTGCATCCCATCGGTGCCTATTTGTGGGAATGTGCTCAGGAGGCCTTGCTGAGCAGCCAGGTGCTATGGGCCCAGAGAAACCTGCTTTCACCCCCCGCTCCCCAGCCCCTAACCCACCATGTGAGCCAGGCAGCCTCTCCTCATCGGGGGTCTCCTTTTCCTAGGTGGAGTGGGGGTGGTGGTAGCGGGGCCATCTATAAGTCTCTCCGTAGCTCTGCTGGGCTGCAGGCTCTGTTGGCAGAGGGAGAGTTCCCGAAACAACCGTAGCTCATGCCTGGCACATAGTAGGCCTTCAGCACACGTTTGTCAGATGACCACATTAAGCTGGGTGGCTCCTCAGAGGCTTGTGGTCAGAGCTGCAAAGATCCTGGCCGCGTGGGGGGTTGGGCACCTCATCTGCTGGACAGCCAGATGTGCATCCCAGGAAGGCCCCTGCCCCACCCTGCCCCAGCGCTCAGCCCTGCAGGTTCCTGTGCTGGCCCCTTTCTCCAGACAGTTCTTCGGCCCCTTCCCACCTGTACCCACAGCCTTTCTGGTCCCGGGCCAGAATCTCGGGTGAGCTTACAGGTCTCTTAGGACCAATTTGGTATGACTCCAGGTCACTCCCCTCTGTGGATCCTGGGATGGGGTGGTCCTGGTCCCTCTGTTTTCTAGATACCTGTGGGAATGCTGCCTGAGCCCTGCAGATCCCCTGTCACTGAGAAGAACCCACCCTTACCTTCCCTGTCCCCAAGAGGGCTTCAGATGGCAGATGGCCACAGGCTGGGGGGGCTCCCCTACATGCCTGGCCCCGGGGCCGGGGAGGGTCAAAGGACCTCCTGCCCTGTTCCCTGCTGCCTAGCCGTCAGTCCCAGGCCCCAGGCACCCCCAGCCCTAACCACAGTCTCCGTTCTCTCTTTGAGGTGGGAAGGACTGGTGCTCATCATCTTGTATGCGTTTTACATTCTGATCATGAAGTAAGTAGCTTTTTTCTCTTATCCCGCCGGGCAGTCTGACGCCTCATTCCCCTTCCTGCTCTAGCCTTTTGTTAGAGCCCAGACAAAATTGATGACAGACCAGCTGTCATCTATTCCAGCCAGCTCCGGTTCTCTGGGGGGTACCTGCTGGGGTGCTCAGACACTGTTTGGGGGGCGCTGTCCAGACCAGGGGAGGCAGGGCTGGTGGGTGGAGGATGAGGCTCCTCCAAGACAGATGGCAAGCAAGACGTCTTTCCCCGTGGCTCCTCCCTGCCCCGGGTGACCGCTCTTTCTCACTGGCGCTGTAACTCTCCCGATCACGTACCACTGCTCTTCTCAAAGAGCCGGGCTGCCTCACTTCTGTGCCAGGCTTCGTACAATGCCACCTGCAGGGGGCGTCACTAAGGAAGGAAGGTGCAGATGGTGTGTCAGGGATGTGCACCCAAGCAGCAATTCCAAAACTGCCTGGGTGAGCGTGACCTCAAAAGAGCCCGTGAGGAATATTATTCAGCCCTAAAAAAGGAAGGGAATTCTGTCATGTGCTACAACAGGGGTGAGCCTTGCAAACATCCTAAGTGAAAGGAGCCAGTCACAAAAGGACAAAGATGGTATGATTCCACTTAGGCGGGGTAGCCAGGAGAGTCCAATCCATAGAGAGAGTAAGTTAGAGATTACCGGGGGGTGTGGGGGAGGGGCCGATCACTGGTTAATTGATGAATGGGTATCACAGAATTGTTCTCGATGCTGCAACCCGACAGTAAATAATGCTGACGGTCACCTGACACGTTCTGGAACTGTGATTAATGCCAGTGAATTAGACACTTGAAAATGAAAAAGAGTTAAAATAGCAAATTTTATGTCCCCCCAGTTTTTCCACATTAAAAAAAAAAAAGAGAAAAATGCTCCCTTGAGCTGAGTCCTCTTCAGGTTTTGTCTTCTTGTCCACATCCCCGGAAAGAGTTAAAAACAACACTGAGTTTGAGGAAACTCTGTGAAGTCCCACGTTGATATCAAATGTTTATAGTATTTTGTGAAAATGGGTGATCACCTGTCCAAGGGCAGGAGACTTGTCCTCACGTGAACTGCTCTTTCAGTGAGGCGGGCGGCCTGGGGTCAAAGCTGGAGATGGTATCTTTTCTGGGGGCTGGGGGTGGGGTGCGCCTGGCTATGAGGGGTGCAGGCATGGCCCGCCGGGCAGCCCACGGGGGCAGGACCTGCAGCTGTGGGAGGGAGGACCAGCCTGGTGTCACCTCCTTGGAGCCTGCCCTTGACGCTGGCCTGAACTTCTTTTATGAGGACAGGCTTGGGACGGGCATAAGTAGGCATGGGTCGTGCTCTTGGACCAGAGGTTCCTTATGCCCCCCCCCCCCCCGCACGATGTTCTCGGGGTCCTGTCGGGGGACTGTCAGCTCCACGGGCCATTCCCAGGGTCTTCTGCCTGTGTGTGCATGGGCTGGGGGGTGGGGATACCTGCCCACTGCGGCCAGGTGTCTCCCACAGCTCTGACCTCCGGCCTTCACTTGCAGGTACAATGTGAAGATGCAGGCCTTTTTCACCATCAAACAAAAGGCCGTTGCCAATGGCAACACGGTCAACAGTGAGCTGGAGGATGGTAATGATTACTGTGATAGCAGTTCTGATGACCCCTCCATGCCATTGCTGGGGCAAGGTAAGGCTGAGCAGACAGGAGCCGCCCCAACCACGTCACTGAAACCGCTCTCCCCTTCTCTTTCCTGCCCATGCCACCCCCCCACCCCCGCCAAATTGTCCCTCTCTTACCTTTGGCCCCCCCCCCCCAGGAGATGTGGCTCAGATTTGCATTTGTGTAGAAGGGAGAAGAACCAAGAGTCAACAGTCACGCCCTGGGGACTTTTCCCCAAGCCTCCCCGGGAAGGCTCTTGGCCTGCTGGGCTCAGAGCCCCCTGAAACGCAGTGAGTTACCTCTCTGACCCTTGTAAAAGGCCAATGGCAGGAGGCTGAGGACTTGGGGTGACAGAGCAGGCGTGGGTCTCCCTGTGATTTCTCACACACCGGGCCCAGCTCTGGCGGAGAACTCAGTTCTGGAGAGACCTCTGGCCAGCACCCAGAGGAACGGCAAGGCCCCGGAGGGCAGCCACGGAGCCGAGCAGGAATGCCCAGACCGGCCCCCGAAAGCCTTGCTTGGGAGCCCTGGCCCGGGGGCTGCAGCCTTGTGTCCTCGGCTTTTCTTTGGCCCCCTTGCCTGGGGTTCTGGGCCTGCGGAGCCAGTGCGTGTTGTCACTGCCAAGGTCCCCCAATCCGCTAGGCCGGACCAGCTGCTGCTTTGGAAACCGCATCTTAATCCCACCAGTTACACAGTGATTCCTGGCTGGGGGTGGGGTAGGAAACTGCCCGCAAGAGGGGCACATTTCCGTTCTTCCCCACCCAAGCCCCCAGCGAGTGTTAGGGCCTGAATAGGTTCTTGTACTGAGGGTCATGGAAAAACAGATGGGGCTGTTTCCTGGGGCTGTTCCTAATTCCACCCACTGTGTTGGCAAAGGCCTCTTCAGCAGCAGACAGGTGGATGGGCCACATGAGGGTCTTTCTCCCATGCTCCCTGTGGCCCTGGGCGAGCCACGTCCTCTTTCAGGGGACCTGAACTCCTCCATGGTGTCTGGGACAGCCCAGGTGGTCTCAGGGGCCAGTTTGCTCGTGTCTGGGACATGTGGGGGCTGAAATCTGTCCTCCTTGGCCCCTCGCTAGTCTTCACCCTGGGGTGGATCGGGGTAGGGGCTTCATCCCCTGGACGTCAGGCCAGTTTATTCTGTCCCATCTCAGGAAACCCCCCCTCACAGGTGCTTGAGGGAGGAATGAATCTCTCCTTACGGAAAGAAGAAACCCACTGGGGTAGGGGTGGGGGAGGGGGGTACCAGTGTAGTCATGGTTACGGCCCGGCTGCCAGACCCTGGTCCCTGATGGTCAGAGGAAGGAGGCCTGTAGAGCCTGGGGCTGTATCCATGTGTCCTGTTGCCAAAATGCCGAGCAGCCTACCCCAGAGGAGAGCCCGTTTCCAGGACAACCTCCTCAGAGGGGAAGGATGGATGTGGCTGCTGGTTTGCATTTTAGCTCCACAGATTAACAGTGGCCCCAAGGTTCCAACCGCACATCCCCACACACAGTGTCTCAGGACAGGGGCTGAGTCCTGCCCAGTCTTGTACCCAGAGATTAGTGCTCCGGGGCCCTCAGGACCTTCACAGCAAAGAAGGTCATTCCTCAGGTGCCCCAAGAGCTATCTACCCCCTGTGTGGCCGATGGAGGAGGCCCCTCCCTAGGGTCCCATGGGAAGCATCCCTTACTTGAGTACAGCTGTGTGGGTAGCGGCCTCACGCGGGACCTCTCCTACAGCTCTGTCCTGGTGCTGTCTCCACAACTTAGGTACCCAGGACAGTAGGACCTCCCCCACAGGCCTCTTATTTTCCCCCAAATATCTAAGTCCAGGAGAATTTCTAGAAAATTAGAAGATTAGACACAAGGCTGCCCAACCTCCCCCCCAAACACAGGAAAAGGAGGAAGATAGGCCTCCCTCCAAGTTTTATCAGGGAGAAGGCATTTAGATAAAGGCCAAGGAGAAAAAGGTCTGGCGGGGGGAGGCTGCAGGACTGGAAGTGGAGAGGTAGGAGTCCCAGAGATGCGGCCCTCAGGATTTTGTAGCCCCGGCTGGTGGAGGGCCCTGTGTGTAAGTCACTGCAGGGTGCTGTCCCCCCAGAAACAGACTGAGGAAGGAGCTCCCAGGAACCCTGCAGGGACTGAGAAGGGGGCCTCAGGAGTTTGCCTCTGCTAGCGGTGGTGTTGTCACGAATCTTTCCAATACAGAGCTCCCCTCCCTGCTCCTCGGCCTGCAGGTGGGTCCCCATCTCCCCACCCACCCGAGGAAGCCCAAGATTGCTAGCTGGTGGCGTCTGTCAGGAACCTGCGCACACACAGCTCTGGCTTTGCCTGTTCCCAGTTTCGGTGTTTCCCGTGTCAGATCAAAATTTTCAACCCAGTCTCCTCACAGGTGTTCGGCCTTGTTACTACCACTCTTGTAAAATGCCTTTATCTACGTAAGTGTTCTTTGAAAGGTCATGCGGTTCTTTTTACCAAATCCTCTCGGGCCAATTTTTTGTTGTTGTTTTGAGGGTGGGAAGGAATAACATCTTCCAGCTTTGTTCAGATGTTTGGATTTTTCTAAAAGTCTTAGAAGTTTTTCACATCACACTTCAGTTCTGCTCAAGGAAGCAGAGCACAGTACCCCAAGAAAAGGTCCCCGGGGCAGAGGAGGAGGGCGCCCCCCCCTCCCCGGTTCCCACTGCTGTGGGGAGTCCAGCTTCTCTTTGCTGGTTGCACACAGCCTGACAGCCCAGGCTACTGGGGCTAACGGCTAGGCTCACCGTGGACCTTTCCAGGCTGCCTTGGCCCTGGATCCAACTTTGGCTTCGAGCAGGGGCTTGAGCATTGAAGCCCCCAGTAGCAGGAACCCCTCTACTAACTCCTTCAAATAACCCCCTGGCATCTTGGCCACCATCGAGAATGCTGCCCCAAACTCTGGGCGTCCACCGCACGCTAATCACCTCTGGCAAATCTCTGTCGGCCTTTGTCTCCTTAACTCTTCTCTTCTAAACTGTAAGTAATCCGCTTTCATCCAAGTGATAACCCATGCATTACAGAAACAAACCAACCAGGGCCTCCGCTCACACCTCCTTGGAGGTTAGCGTCTGTCCCCGACAAATGCATGGGCCTCCTGGCTTCCTTTCTAACCACCGCGCCTCCTGTCTGCTGAGCCTTGCTGCCTGTTTGGTGAGGGTGTGCATGTCTGGTGTGCATTTGTTCATGTTGGTGCCGTTAACTTGCACGAGGGTATGCTCTCGGCCACTCCTGCCCGGAAAGGCTGCTCACCGGGAGCTGGTGACCAGTGCAGAGGGACGGGCCTATCTGCTTTGACAGCCTCCCCAGAGGGGAAAACTCCACCTGCTTCTGTGTGCTGTGTTCCTGAGTGGTTCCATTCCTGGTGTCCCCAGGGCTCTGGAGTTAGATGTCAGATCCCCCGAGGATGCCCACCCTGAGCGAGTCTGTGAAGGTGGGGAGGAAGGGGCCTGAGGCCTGGAGACATTTACTCTTCAGCCTCAAGGGCGGGGCGGGGGGGCGGGGAGCGAAGGGTGAGAGAGAGAGTCCCCTTCCTGCTGGAGGGTGCGTGTTGTATCAGAGACACTGGATTTGGCCAGCAGCCCTCAGCAAGTAGGCTCTCCCCCTTGGGTCTCTCTTGCCTCGTCCAGCACCTGCGAGCGTCATCTTTACCCTCACTGCTGGCCTCGGGGAGAGCAGTGTTAGACAGGTCCTTCTCTGCCAGGTGGAGATGGACGTTCAAACAGAGCAGGTAGCCTGGTGGGAAGCTGAGAGCCAGTGCTCTCTGGTGCTTTCTAGCATTTTCCATCCTGGAGAGCCCTTGTCAATTTCCAAAGTTTTATCTGAGCCTCTGTCAACAGAGGGAAAGAAAGGTGCCCTCGCAGTCATGGGCTGGGAGGTGGCAGGGACCCTGTCTTAATTGTAGCTGGGCTTCCCAGTGAGGCGCAGATGAGGAACTGAGAGACCTTAGTCAAGTTGGGCCCCCAAAAGAGGGGGCATCACCTGGTGGAGGGGCTAGACGTGGAGCGCCTGCTCATGAGTGGTCCGGTAGCACGGGACCCCGGGGCCTCGGCTAACACTCCCCATTGGCAGGCGGTCCCCTTGGGCTCAGTCAGGCTCCCCGGCAGCGGCCAAGATCACAGCCCCAGGAGGTCTGCAGCATGAGGGGAAGTCAGCTGGCCCAGCGCTGGGGTGTTGTCCCCAGGGAGATCTCGGCACTAATCATGGCTTTGTGCCCAATATAGTGAAGGAGGAGCCTCAGTACAGCAAAAACCCAGTGGTGATGGTGGACGAGGTCATGAGCTCCAGCCCTCCCAAGTTCAGCTTCCCGGAGGCGGGCTTACGCATCATGATCACCAATAAGTTTGGGCCCAGGACCCGACTGCGGATGGCCAGCAGGATCATAATTAATGAGGTCAGTTTGCATCAAGGGCACTGAGAGCGAGTGGCCTTGGATGTGTTGCTGCACTTTGAGGACGCTTCCTATTGTTGGGCCACCGGGATGTCCTTGGCCGGGCTGGCCTTTATTGCTGTCCCTGCTTACGGAAGGAGGCCCAAACGTTACCCGCAGGCAGCACATGATCCTATCCAGAGGTGTGTTACAAGGCAGGGAGCAATCGAATACAGTTTCTAAGATGTGCCACTAAGAATTTTGTCAGGCACTAAAGCAAAGCTAATTGGAGAAAGGCCAGTTGGAAGTATGGGTTGTTTCTTTACAGTGTTATTGAGGACCAAAAAAAAGATGAGCACACACCTGTTCTCTATGGATAGAACAGCTCTAGGAGAAAACCAAGAACACTGGCAGAGGTCACTTACCCCTGGGGACTTCCTTTTCACTCTGCACCCTCCTGTTCTGCTTGAAGTTTTGTGCCCTCTTACTCATTTGGAAAAAAAAAAAAAATCTGTTTTAATGTTATTTCATGTCCAGAAAGTGTAGCAAAGGTGCCCAGGCTCTAATTGTCAGGGTTAGGGTTAGCTTTCTTCCGGTCTTTGCCACATGTGTGCATCTCAGAGTTTTAAGTCCTTATTCTCACACCCAGGTAGTTCTCAGCTTGAAACCTTAATAACTAATAATCCATAGTTAGCACGTCAGAGGTATGCAGAAATGACATCGCCCAGGGCTTAAAAGTTCTATAATGTGAACATTTCTGCTTTCGTACATAATACATCCTCCCTGTGGAAGGTGTAGTAAGAAAGAGAAACATTGCAAATTTTGCATCATTCTGAATCCTTTTGACCCTAGCCAGTAAAATAGGCATCAGTGAAATTTTACTGAATCCTCGTTATTTTTCAAGAGCATGATAATTGTGCCCATTGAGTGGGGGTGGGGACAACTCTGAAGGATTTGGGTTTATAGTATCTTTTTCATGCCTTATGCACTAGGGAAATAATGGGGGTTTTGATGAACCGGTAAAATATTGATTGCCCCCAGATGTTTTAGGCTGCTGGAAAAACCTCGTTTCCGCCCACCACCCCCACCCCCAGGCTGGGATTGAGTGCCCTGGCAGGTAGCATGGCGATCCAGAGAGGCCAGGCTCAGGAGAAGACATTGAGTTTTAATCTCACTTTAGCCACTAACTCGCTTAATCTTCCTGGGCCTCAGCTTCTCTAACTGAGAATGTTTGGCAGGATGCTTAGAGCTCTAAAAATTTCAGTGACACACAACTGATAAGCTGTGCGTGGAGGCCAAGCCGTATCTTGGGGTAAATTCATCAGGGAATGGGAGTGGGAGGAGGAGGAGAAAAAAAACCCAAATGCCCGGTTTCAAAGTTGTTTCTTAAGACCCTGGGTCTCGTTAAAATGTTCAGTCATTTTAATTCCAAAACGTTAGAGATGTTTGCAAAGCTGCAATTAAGCCATGGTAGATTCTAGTGCTTGCGGGACGGATGCTCTCGTTCATTCATCGGAGAGGACAGAGCAGCTGAGAGAGGGTTTGTAGGGGGTGGGTGCATGGGGGGGTGGGTGTGAGGGGTTTTCCTTCACTCCAAGGCTACACCCGGCTGTCCTCACCCAGAGCCACTGCAGTGAGTTGCTGAGGGGCACAGAATTTCACCAGCCCTCAGTTTCCATGCATCTCACTCCTGGGTGCTGGTCATTTTGAGCTGGTCTGTCCAGCTGCTGAGGGCGGGCAGGTGCGGGATGTTTCACCTGTGGTACAGCATTAATCCTCTTAATGACCTTCTGAAGCAGATGATGAGATTTCCAATTTATCAGAGAGGCAAAGGAATTTTCCCAAAGCTGCACAGCTAATATGAGGGCAGAACAGGAATTCCCACCCAAATCTGCATCTAGACTGCAAAAGTGGGACTGTGTAGATTATCAGCGTTCAGTTAGTCCACCTCCTCAGCCCCTTCTTTCTATATTTTTACTCCCTCTATAATGTTCAGCCCCTGCTTGAGTTTTTAATAGCCTCTTCCAAGTGACAACCCTTTGAACATCGCCACCCCCTGATTTTCTCCTTGAACCTAAACATCCTTAGAACCTCCCACCCTCCCTGATGTAACATGGTTCCAGTCCTCCCCATCTTCCAGCTTCTCTCTCTCAGCATGTGGATCCATCACCTCCTTTGTGTTGTAATCTATGCCTCTCTTAATACGACCTCAGGGAACTTTAGATATTTTTCCAGGTACAAGTCTCTGTTGATTCCTGTTAGGCTAGCATCATGACCCCTTCCCATTGCTGCCATTCATCTTGCCATTAAGTCATGCCTCCCTCCTTACGATTCTGTCCTTGCACAACTAGGTTTTTTTGTTTGTTTAACTACAGGGATGACCTGTCATTTAATACTACTTGGGTTTGCTACTCGAGTAGCAAAATATTATGCCTCCACATCTGAACTTGAGTCTCAGACATAGATCTCTTGCTCTTTTTGGTAGGCTAAGTGTTGTGAACACACTTGTAAAAAAAGGAATTTTAAAAATTTTCACCCCATCCTAGACTTCATCATTTAGGAGTCCCTGCCTAAAACCAACATAAAGGTGGTTAAATGGTCAATTCCTTTTTTTTTTTTTTTTAAGAGCAATAACATGTATCTATTTTAATAATGATGTTTTAACTTCCAGTAACCACGAGGATAGGCGTTGGGCACACAGGTAGAGAATAATGCCTTGGGGACGTATTCATGCACTCTTAGTCTCCTGGTGAAGAATCAGGAGGGGTCTATATTTGTCCATTGTGAGACAGTCCTTACCCCCAAGGCCTAACTCAGACTGATCCACAGGCTTTTATAATTGGAACCAGATGAATGGGAGCTGGGCAAAGGCAAAGGAAAGTGGAAACCTGTGGATTTCTTGAAATGTGGCCTCTGCCTTTCCCTGGTTTCTAGAAGCCCATGGATTTGGTGAGGAGGATCAGCTTCTGCATGGGCAAAAAGGAGGCAGCCTTTGTCAATTGCTACAAAATAGGGCCAGGAAGGGGACAGGTTAGTTCAGGGCACACCCATTAGACATGGCAAAGCCCTGGGACAGCAGAGGTCATCCCAGTGGCCAGCAACCCAGTGAGGTGCTCAGCATCGCTAGTCGGCAGGGAAATGCAAACAGAGCCACAATTAGATACCATCACCCCCCCCACCAGAATGGTTCAAATTAAAAGGAATGCCAGGGTCAAGCATTGACAAGAACGGGACACAAAGGAAATTCTAATCCATTGCTGATACATACGAGTGTGAAGTGGTTCAACGTGCACCTACTGAATGACCTAGAAGTTCCACTCCTAAATACCCAAAAGAAATGAGCACATTTGTCCAGAAAAAGACCTGTGCACAAATGTTCACAGCAGCATTCTTCATGAGAACCAGAGAAGGGAAACCACACAGTGCGTTGGAGGTCATTCATACAGTGGAATACTCGACAGCCATGAAAAATAGCCAGCTACCAGGTCGTGCAACCCCATGAATGCATTTTACAGATATTGAGTGCAAGAAGCCACACATAGAATAATACATATTATATTTATACGAAGTTCAAGTTCAGGAAAAACGAATTGGTGTCTATAAAAGAATAGCAGTTACCTTGGTTACCTCTAGAGAGAAGGGGCTTATAAACCAGGGAGGTGCCTGAGGGAATCTTCTGAGGGGCAGGAAATGTTCTACATCTTGATGTAGCATATCACTGAGCTATATGCTTCATTTAAGTGTATTTTTTGCACAATAGACGTGAAAAAAATTAAACATTCAAAAAATGATGCAGGACGTTTCCTTTGACTATCTTCAGGCAGCTTATAAATGTCCACTGAAGGATCTGGAATGGTCACTGTCATCCAGAGTCATGGGCTGGGTGGTCTGGTTGGCAGGCTCTGACCAATCCCCAAAGGCTTCCCAGTATCAGTCTACCTGGAGACGAGCAAACTGAGATGGAGTCCAAGGTTCTTGGGCCATTTCTCAGGGAGACTGATCTCCAGGGATGGTATTCTAGAAACCTTTCAGCACTATGCCCCAGTAAGGAACAAAGCCACCGTGTGACATTTTGTCACATATCTTGGCGTCTGACTTGCCTCCCGTCCACACAGCGGCAGAGACTGATCAACTCGGCTAACAGTGTCAACAGCAAGCCACTTCAAAACGGGAGACACGAAAACATCGAGAACGGGAACGTTCCCATGGAAAACCCCGAAGACCCTCAGCGGGAGCAGGAACAACCACCCCAGCCGCCACCCCCACCCCCAGAGCCGGAGCCGGTCGAGTCTGCCTTCCTGTCCCCCTTCTCCATGCCCGGTAAGTTCTGGGGGCACAGGGCCCTCGGGCTGAGTTGAGGTCTTCAGGACGGAGACCTGGACCCAGGAGGTCCGGGGGAGCCTGGTGCGAAGGGTCGACGTTAGGTCACCAGAATGCTTTGGAGGCACTTGATAAATACGTCCTAAGTAGCGAGCTGTGGATTAGAACCGCGGTCAGATGCAGGCATGCCCGGTGTGGGGGAGCCTGCGTGCCAGAGAGCAGGCCAGCTGGAGACATGGGGGCACCAGTAACCCCCAGTGATTGCACTTAAATGCCCAGGGCAACTGGTCTTTCTTTTGCAGTAAGAAAAAGCAACCACCACCGTTAATTTTACGGACCTGGTTAGACTGTCCAACCAGACATTCACCGACAGGATATTCTAAGGCCGCAAATTACCCATAGACAGTTACACCTTCTACATTTGACAACATCTCCTACCCGTACGTAAGCCCTCAGCTCTTTCCATCTCACAGGAGTGTGACCTCTGAAGCCTAGTGTCCTCTGACTGCTGGCTCCTTGCTGACCTCAACTTCTCTTCTCCTTCTCGTGCCCTCTTCTCCAGCCACACTGGCCCCCTCACCGTCCTTAGAACACACCAGGTATGCCCTGCCTCAGGACCTTTGCACTTGCCTGTCACTGGAATGCACCTTCCCGGTGGTCCACATGGCTCACTCCCTCCCCTGCTTCAGGTCCCTGCTTAAATGTCACCTTCTCAGGGTGGCCATCCCTGACTACCCTGTTTGAAATATTTTATGTATTTTTTTCTCTCGTGTGTCTCCCCCAGCTAAAATGTCACCTCCACAAAGGGCAGGGATCTTTGTCTATTTCGCTTCTGCCTGACACACGGTAGGTGATTAGCAGGTATCTGTCCAGTGAGTTCACATGCGAGAGGAATCCCAGACACCCGCAGTGTACCTTCCTCTTTAACCAACTTTCTGTGCGGGCCTTTGAGTCCTAGGTGGGAGAGGAAGGCCCCGGTCTCAGAGTTTTTGTCTTGGTGTCCTGCCATCCAGACAGGCCCCAGAATTCCAGGATTTTCAAGTCCAGAACTTGATGTTTTTCTGAAAAGAGTTCTGTGTTTAACATCAGGCTCACAGAGCACGTAATTTAAGAGATGGCTCTGCGGGGAGAGAGGCTATCCAGTCCCTCGTCCCCATGTTTTGGGAAGACTCCTGCCCCCAAGTAGACGGTGGGGGGTCTGCCCAGGCTGGAATACTGTGCCACCATGCTTCATCCTGAAAATACGGGCTCCATTTGAGATCACACGGCTGCCTCGGAGTTCCTAGATGAGAGTCTCCAGGGTATGCCGATCACAGCTACCTGGCTCTTCCCCAAATTCAGGATCTGGTTCTAAAACACGGACATTTCAAAGACTGGCGCAGGATGTGGGAATCAGAATTTTCCAGTCTTCTCTGGGTGATTCCTGGGAACTGGCTGGGTCAGGAATTGCTGATCCCTTCTTTCACATGAAGGGCAGACCTGGCAAGTGAATTTTTTCCCTTCACTAAGATCACAGAGGGGCCCAGGCCTGGGGTTCAGGCCACCCCACCCCCCCCCCAGGTCCTCCCCTGCCGACCAGAAGGCTGAGGGGAGTGGTGTCAGACACATCCGACACGTCAGCACACCTGTTGGAAGGCTCTGGGGAGCAGAGATCATGCTCAGGTAGCTTGACTTGTGGGCTAAAGGTCACACTGTACCTGGGTGGGAGCTTGGCCCCTGGGGCCAGGCCTGGACCACTGGAAGAAGGGGTGTTCTTCAGATCCTGGGAATCTGTATCAGATGACCTATTTGTGTACACTGGGGGAGAGACGATATCTATGCAGCGGGATCCCGGGAGGGCGGTGTACCCCCCCCCCCCCCCCCCGCCGCCCAGAGCAGAACCTGCTCCAAGTCTGAAGAGCCAGGACGGGTCCCTGCCCTGCCTAGCATTTTTCACTTCTGTGTTCGTGAGCGGTCCAAACACAGGCCCGGAGTCCGGAACCCCAGGGCCCCCCCACAGCCGTGCATCGTAACTCCAGCAGCCCACTTCCTCTGCCATGTGCACTCAGGGCGAGCACGGGGACTCGGGGCGGCGGGAACCCCAGGGGTTTCAGTTCCTCAGGGGCTGGAGCCCAGATGCAGCGGGGGCTGGGATGTGGAGGGAGAGCCCGGCTGTGGCCCCGCCAAGCTTTCTGGGAAGGAGGTACTGTGCCGTGAGTTTTCTTCTCTAGTCCCAGGAGGTGGGTGGCGGAGTCCCCACTTTGCGGATGTGGGCCCTGATGGGGCCCCAACCGCCACCCTCCACCGGCCACTTCATGTGGATCCTTGTGCGGGCGTTGCCCGCTGTCCAGGGCTCGGCCGGAAACCAAAGAAGGGAGGTGCCCTTCTTGGCAGCGGCCGTTCAGGCAGCCATGTGTAAGGACCACTCACCTCTGCGTTTCCTCAAAACCTTGAGTTTGGCAGGACTGGGTGGGGTGGACCCCAAGGCCTGCCGTCCCTCCCTTGGTTTTGTCCGGGGACCTGGCGCTTCTCAGAGAAGTGGCCATGGGAAATGGGATCTAGCTTCCTGCAGGACTCTGTCTGGATGGCTCAGCCGCCTGGGGGAACCGGGGCGGGGGGGCCTTCAAAACGCTGCTTTCTTGCCAGGGCTGGGCCCCGGGCAGCTCGCAGGCTATGTGGACCCCTGCCTGATGGGCCCCGGCTTCCTGCTGCAGTTGGTTACCTTCCTCCTCCAGCCGGAGGCTCCAGGACGTTCCCCAGGGCTCAGCTCAGATCGGAGCCAAATGCTGGGAGCTTCCGCCCCGTGCTCGCCTCCTCTTGCCCTCAGGAACAGGCCGGGCTTCCTGCGTCCCTGTGCAAAGCTCCCTCTCCCTTTGTGTCCCTGCGGATGTGTGTCCAGGTGTTTACCTTGGAAACCACGAGTTACTTCCTGCTCCGCTTCCTCTGCCTTCCCCTCATCTCCTTTGAGGAGTGGGGGGTGGAAAGGGAGCCGTGTGGTTGCGGCCCGTTTAGGTGTGTACGGTGGCCACGGAAAAGCGAGGCCGGTGTGGGCAGAGGTTTATAGGAACCTGGACAGTGGGACACAGCGCCTGGGAGGGTCTGGCTCCTGGCCCTGGACCACCCATTCTCGCTCACCTTGTCTTTTCAGTTCCTCTCTGGTGGTGGCCTCACAATGATCCGGGGCTGGCCGGTGGCCCCGAGGATGCTTTAGGGGCAGAGGGAGCTAGCTATCCCCTAAGCTGGGCCCAGGAAGGAGTCACCAGGGGCGAGGAAAGTGGTAGCAGGGGTGGGGATGGGAGGAGGGCAGGAGCCATTCCTCTGGGCAGCTTGGCACCAGCCTCGCTGCAGCGGCAGGATGAATCGGGGCCTGCCGGTTCTATGCACAATTCTTCTGTGTAGTCAGGGGCAGCCTGGGAGGCAGGCTCTGGAGTCCAGAAGTCCTGCGTTCAAGTTTTGGTTCAACCACTCACCGGCAGGTCGCACTGGGAAAGCTGCTTCACCTCCCTAAGCCTGTTCCTCAGCCAGAGAATGGGGGCACTGGTGCTTATGCCCCAGGCTTGCTCTAAGTAGTGAATAAGGTATTTAGCCACTGTCTCTGGGCACAGACCGATGCATAGTAGGTGTGCAGAAAATGCTAATTTGGATTATGTGCTTGAATCACGTGGTTTCTGTTATATCCAGCTTTTCACATCTTTCCCTGTTTGGACTACAAGCTGTGTTCTAGAAGGGTCACAGGTGCCAGGATCCCTGGAGGTCTGGAGCCGGGTGGTCATCCTGAGTGTCAGGAAGCACCTGCTGTGTGCCAGGTACCCAGCTCTGGGCACTTTGCAGATAAGATCTATCTTTTCAGTAAATATTTGGGTACGAGACCACTGTGGGCTTTGGGTGTGCAGGTGGGAACAGGACAGCCATGGTCCCTGTCCTTTGAGAGCTTGCGGGTGTGCTGGGTAAATCCAGGCAGTTAACTACAGGATGCATCTTACGCATCATCTTCCTCTACTACACGGTGGATAGGTAGAGGAGGTGGCCCCAGCCTGGGGCCCCTGGGCTCTGCCACCCGCATACGGGATCATGGGGCTTGTAGACTAGAGCCCAGGGACATTCAGCAGCAGCCTGTCCCTTGTGCCCACCTGGCCTGCTGCTGGATTCACATCGACATCCACTGCAGCCTGCTCTTCCCACTCTGGGCTGTGGAGGCTGGTAATTAGGCTTCCCCAGGCCAGCTGTTGGCTGGGGGAAGAGGAAGAGGAGAGAAGCTTTTTCTCCCATGGAAACTGTGGTCTGCAACCCCGGGGAACTGCTCTGAAGTTACCAGCTGGTGACCCTGAGTCCCCGCCTGGCCGGGGAAAGCCCATAATGCAGGCTGTTTGTGGTTGACTTGTGGTCTGGGAGGCGCCACCAGCCCAGGGGGCCAACGGGACTCCTCTCTTCTGATACTGGGATGCTGGCCTTCATGTCTGCCACTGTTGTAGCAGCCCTGGGGACTTGCTGTAGGTCAGGCCTGGAGTGAAAAGTCAGGAACCCTTCCAGGGCTCTTGGGGGGCTTCCAGGTGCTGTGCCCTGTTCTAAGAGCTTTATGTGGTTTTTCTTTCACTGAATCCTCCCATGAGGTGGGGACGATGATCTCCATGTTGCAGAGAAGGAAGGAGAGGCCAGAGAACTTAAGCCAGCCGTGCAGTCCCCCAGCTTCTAGGTGGAGAGGAGCGTTCCCGCCTGGGCAGCCCCTGCTCACCACTGTGCCGTCCTGCCTCCCGGTACTGAGCGTTTTATTTATCCTCACAGCTTCCTTGAGATTAGGCATCATCTTTACCTCCATTTTGCAGAGGGAAGCGGAGGCCCCGAGAGGCTGGGTGACTTCCCGAATCACATGGCCATTAAGTCGGGGGAGCCCCTCTTCCATCCTGTGCCTCCCGAGCTGAGAACACCGTCCCAGTCTGGTCCACTGGGGAGTAGAGTCCCGGACCGTGAGCCCCCAGGCTGTCCTACAGCCGGCAGATGACCCCAGATACATATGTATCCAG